AAGATTTGTTATCTTATTGTTTAAAACGCTTTTCCGCGATCAAATTTAAATCTGGACCCAGAAATATCAGTATCGCTTTGAAATAAAAGGATTAATTGATCTGTAATTGCAAGTGAAGTATTCTATTTTATGCATGAATAATGTTGTTTTGTTGTGCTTTTTATTTATAAATCCAGGCTTCTGTCTTCAGTTTTGCCAGTCGATCCCGTGACATACATTGTGACAAACATAACTTTTTTTGTTATAATCTGCATTTATTGCCAGGCATGAAACCTGTAACTTCAAGCTCCCTAAGATATATTTGGCGATTATGTGATTCTCAGGATATGATGCTGGAGCGAACATCAAAATCAGTCACGCTGGGCATGCCAATTTCATACCCGGCATGCCGAGCATGGCAAACCCAACTGGCTGCACGATCTGCATGCCCGGCATGCCAAACCAGACGAGCAAAAACTGGGAATGAATTATTAACCCGGCGAGAGATCTGGGACCTAAGTTTAGCTAAGTCAATTTTGGGCTGCGAGGGCATGAACCCATTTTTTCCATGCCTATGACATGTAATTTCTAAGTACCAATGTTCCCTTGAATTTTGTCATGCCTAAATATATAAAAATTTTCCCTCTCTCATTAATCCTCAGACTGAATGCAATTTTTACGCTCGCTAGGCATGTTCAACTGAAAATCATGCCCATACCCTCATTCAAAACAAAATGCTATCAAATTTTAGTTTCCTAGCCGTTTTAGATTCAGCACTAAATTTTGGTGGCCTAGATTTTTAGTCTAGTATGTACTTTATTAGTAAATCTGATTGCAATAGCTGGATAGTGGAAGAAAGGAGAGACACCTCAGTGGATTTTTTTGTGTTCTTAGAGTTCTTATAGTGAAACCTAGCGAAACAAAGCGAGAGGAATAATTAACAATTAATGAATGAGGCTGAGTATCTTATGAAGAATTATGGAGATCGAGGAGGGTGTTATCCGTCGAGGCCGTACGGCCGAGGCGGATAACACCCTCCGAGATCTCCATAATTCTTCATATGATACGAAAGCCGAATTCAATAATTGTTTTATCATTCATTTAAAATAATTCCTAGTTTAAAAACAAAGCTAAAACATGCTCACCTCCATCGATGTTAAGTTCACCTTCGATAGTGCACGTTTAGGGTTGTTCAGCTCTGCAAATATTTTCCAAATAGCAGATGTCGCCCTTCGAGTTGTCTTCTTGCTGTTTTTGCCATGTTTTTAGCTATAATTTCGCCTAGCTCTTACTCTTGAAACGAGTGAAATGTCCGCCATTTTTTGTTTTCACTACCAAAACAACTCAACCTCGTTTTCAGGTCTTCTCGGTTAACGGTGCATTAACCTGCAAGAACGCTGTATTTTTCACGTCATTTCCTCGTTAAACATAAAATTCTTCCAAATTTGGTCATCAGTAACTGGTTATGGTGAATTATGCGTGTGCTTTTAGCCAACTAGAATCGGGGAAATATTTTGAAGGAATAATAACAGAAAAAATAGTCGATCATTTAAAGAAAAATAAAGATATGAGATGCCCGGCTGATCATAAGTTGATAAGTGGTCGTTCATTTCTGTTTACGCTTAATTGAACATGTAAACATTCGAATAAAAGAACTGTTCTGCTTCGAACGTGTATCTTCTTTAGTTCTTAGCAAAAAATATAAGACAAATTACAAAACTATAAACGAGAATTGAATAAAGTATGAAATAATCTACCTTTGCTTTAAATGGAAACCTTAAATATTCAGAATCCACCTTAAAAATCGCCAAAATGTGAGGATGTTTATAAAATCCTTTTGCAAACGATACTAGTTTAGATCCCAGACCTCTCCCGTCTCTGCACATGCGCAGACGTTGTTCAGCTCTGACGGAATCAGTTCAGTTATTATTGTCGAGTTGTTCAGCTCTGACGGAATCAGTTCAGTTGTTATTGTCGAGTCATCTCGCGCGAGTATAATTCTCACGACCAGTTCCCTAAGGTAACTGTTTGTTTGTTTACAATCAGTTGTGCTTTTTTTAGCCATCCCCTATGAACGAAGCACGTTCTTCATCCTTTTCATGAACTAGTATCAAGAAAACACATTTAGCCAGATAAACAGGGAAACTATTTTAGTTCAGTTAGTACAGGCGTTCTTAGTGAATTATGATAGTAAGGTTGAGTGTGCGCGTGACTCCTGTTTTCAGGTTGATATCCGTTACGACTAAAGGAAGTCAGAGTTTCAGCGTAACGTTGAGTAGTAACTGCACGTTGCCAGCTTTTTTTAGTAATAAGGAGGGGCTATCAATTTTGTCAAAGCATGTCTTTAACTTCCTTGAACAACGATATAAAAGACAGCAAAAACCTGCTCATGAGCAAAACAGCTTTGTTTGACGATCGGCCTTCATTGGACTCAGTCTGACGTGATTAACAGAAATGGTGAGTATTATATTTTAATAGCCGAGTTTCTGACAGTTTTTAAATTGGTAATGGCCAAATATATAAGCACAACATAAATGAAAGAGCACCGTCATTGTACAGATTGTTTTAGTTATCCTTGCAGTTCTCTGTGTATAGAGAGAGTGGTAAACAGTATTAAATGGTTAAATAGAGTTAAATAGTAAAAGGTAACTTAGCGGTCATCAATTCGGCATATGTATTTTAGTTATAAATAGCCTTTCCCAGTCGTTCGGATAGTGGAGCCCCTTCGTTGTTGTTGTGGTTGTTGTTGTTGTTTTCTGCTCACACCTCTTTGAGACGGTCCCCACGATCTGAGCGCCTGGAACAGGCCCCGGGAACAGGCTAAGTTATAACTGAATATTTCTTCTTTAGTTCTACGTTTCGTGCGTCACGTTGTTAATCACTGACACTTCACACAAAGCGAAAAAACATTCAGTGCCGTTACACAAAAATTCCCTAGCCTTGGTACTAAGTCCGTAATTAGTATATAGTGTTATAAAGTGTAAAAAGCGTAGTGTTATCCATCATCTTGAAGGTTCAGTTTGTTGTGAATGGAATATTGAAACAAACGAAAACTCACTAGAACTTTTATTCGACTCATTTTAGAACTCCTCGTCACTCTTAATCGTGCTTCTTCTGTTACTCTGCATCTCCTATCCAGTTGCTTCGCAGGTGAGTTGCTGACTTATTAAACCTTTTTTTTTTAAAGATATCGAGAACTATGTGAGGCGACGTTGCACTATTTTGTTCAACTAGAATAGTACAACAAGAATGTAAACCCAACCAATTGCGATAAACGACTTAAAAATGGGACGATATTTTCAGAAGTAATTTATTGTACCAAGATATGCCATAGCTAAAAACCTTAAGTCAGATAAGGGATAGCTGACAGTCTGCAGGTCGGTGATAGGGGAGGCACAGGCGATATTTCCCGACTCACAGATATAATGTGACCCAAAAATGAAATAATTAACCACACTAAAATGTATCGATCACCGAGTTTCGGAATGTGTTTTTTAATGAATATATTCGGGAAGCGAAGCGATCTGCCATTTTCAAGCTAAACTCTCCTTACCCATCCACCAACGCGGCTTAATTTCATCCCTCTACTACTACTTCTGGGAAACTCAGCGCCGGCGTAGCCATAGAATCTGGCTATTTGGGCCTCACAGCGCATGCTCTTTTATCCAACCAAAACTTTTACTTCTTTTATATCTACTTCATTGCGAAAGTTTTGTGATGCTTCGGAATTATAACTGAAGAAATTAACGGAGCCCTCGAAGAATTTTCAGGTATCCAAGGCTCTTGTGGTAGCTACTGAGAAAATACCGTTAAACGTTTACAGATTTGATACTTGAAATTTGCGTATGCTTTACAGCATTATAATTATTTGCGTAATTATTCACGAGGCGGTAAGTGAAATCCGAATAGCTTGTTGAGAAAAACGTACGAAAATTCCAATAAAACTTTCCAAAATATGAATTTAGAGTCAATTATTTATGTTTGTTCATGAATATTAAACGCTTCAGTAAAGCTACTTTGAAATAAGATATCGTGGGAAAAGAAGACAACCATATTAAAAATATTTGGTCGCTTTGTACACGCATCACTTTAGGGAACTATTTACTTTTTCTGTTTACTTTTCTCTTGCAAGTCTGTTTTTGGGCAATTTACGACAGAAGCTAAAGTTTTCATTCATACTCGGTTACTTCGTGTGAATACGATAACGTGGAAGTCGAATAAAAATAAGTAATGTGTCATGCTTCATAAACTATAGCTGGTAAAGATGTCGGTGTATTTTTATTTTATTTTTCGCATTCAAATATTTTTCTTGGTCAATTTTCGATATGTAGCTAAGGCATTTTATTTGGAAATGGGGAATCCAGTTATTCTGCCTAATTAGTCATGCAAATTAATGTTGTTTTGGAATCGCTGAAATCAAGAATCGGCCGGGAGTGTTTACTTCCACATTTCTAGGGAAAAACCCGCTCACACGCCAGACACGCCACACGTTTACCCGCTCTCGTGCGAACTTGAATGGACTAATCAGAAACACTTTTATTGTTTTTTGCTGAAACCAATCAGAGACAATCTTGCTCCAGTGTTCCCCAGAGCTCTTCCTCCTTGGGGCCGAGATTGGTTATTTGCAGGTCACGTGGTGGGCTGTCGGCCGATGAAAAGGAAGAAAAATTCGCAACGAACTATAAAATAAATTACTAACCCCTTTTCACTTTCACTTGGGGGAATAATTTTTAAAACTATTTTTGAAAAGTGAAGGTGCATGTAGGTCGGTATCTCAGGTGGCAAAGAGAAATGAAAATACTTTTTTTTTCCTGTTTCAGGACACTGAACTCATAGCTTTGACATGGGACCAAAAAACGGGCTCTGCTCGATTATTTATTGATGCTAATTTCACTAGCCAGTTCTAATGTCATTTTTTGGTAGATTATACAAGGAATAAAGGGGGATGAAGGAAAGCTGACAGAGTTCAATGTTCTTATCAAGGAAAGAGGAACAAGATTTTCTGAGAAAATAACAATTGACGAAATAAATAATGTCGAGTACTTTCATGTCCCAGCCCACAACAGACTCACTGAGGCAGACTACCTTTATGACTTTCAAAGTGTAAGTATATAAATTGCACGTTTTCAAAAAATCTTGTACTTTACCTATAGCCACTCAAAAAGCCAGAGTTGCTCGAGGAGTACTCTTACGCTTCTTCCGTGCTTAGCAACCTCCCGCGTGCATCCATAACTGACTCGAAGGTTGCACGCTGGACATTTAACCATTTCTTAAGTGTACCAAGTAAGTAACCTCGCTTATGACATAGAACATTGCGAGCAACCTTGTTTCTCAAACAGCCTTGAGGAGTGATTTTCACCCACATTTCTAATATCACCCCAGGGCATGTACTGGTTTTTCACTGCGAATTTGGCATATCTTTTCAAATGCTAATACAGGAGTTTATCAGAGGAAGGAACAATGCTGGAATTGACACATGCATTACAGTGTCAATATTGACTACTTTGATAAACAATTTCCCATATTGTTTTCTATATTACAAACAGAAAATGTCCGTCAGTCGAGTGAAAAGTGATGCCAAGTGCTATATTGGGCCATTGCCTGACAACCTCCCAAAGCCTGCCAACCTAAGGGCTGGATTGCAAACGGTACGAATACTTTTTTGTGGTAACTGGCTAATAATATCCCCTTGCCTTATTCACCCTTACCCATATCCACCAATTAGTAACAAAATATTGTCTCGATCTTCCGGAGAGGAAATTGGGAAAGGAATAGGGACTAAGGAAAAAATTGCGTGAGGTCGCAAAATAGTAGAAAATGCATCCCAGTATCATGTCATTATCATACATTACCATACCCAAAACAAAGGAAAATATAATTTAAACCAAGGATAATATTGAACCACATCACAGACATCTCGGGACAAAAATTGATCGTTCAAAGACCAGGTTTGAAAAGGGGTAATCGTATTGCCCTTGGCTGATTGTATTGAAGACTTCCATGCCTTGTAAAATGCGTTTTTTAAGCACCTTGTTATGATGATTATGATTATGATAATGATTATTATTAATCAATGTTAATATTATTATCGTTAATATAATAACATAATACAACATAATAGCCAACCCCATTCCTTGGGCCTCAAAGGGTTACAACGAAGTATTGAAGTCTATATTTGATGGAGAGGGTCTTTCTGAGGATGTGAGATGTTTCCAAGTAGTGTGATCTTCTGTAGTTCTTGCATTTTAAGTGGGTTATCAGGGATCTGTTGTATATCTTAATTTTATCTTTTGTATGTAGCTGTTATCTGTTGTATATATTTTTTATATTTATTATTATTATTATTATTATTATTATTATTATTATTATCATTATTACTATTATTTTTATTATTACGATTATTATTACCATTTTTATTGTCTTTATTATTACGTCGAAACAGGCAGCTCAGTTCCCTCCATCTCAAATCGTTATTGCCCGGAAGTACTGGGCTGTTACAGAACAAGTAGACAAAACGTTCCTCCCGCAAAAGTTTCAGGATTTCTGTGGTCAGTTCTCCGTCTTTCGATTGCAAGAAGTCGACTTGAAGTCTAATACTGGATTAAGAAACACGGCCTTTGGAAGCACTCGTTTGGGTAAATGACAGTTATGTTATAATTAAAGAGCTATTTAGTTGTCCATACATAATCCATCACCAAATTCATTTTTAAATTGAAGTATTATCCGCTTCATCTGTGTCAAAAGGTGTTTTTCCTTCCTCCCCACCTTCCCTTCCAACCCAGTCGCGAGAGATGGGGAAGGGGGGTCCAATTAATGGAGAAAATACGACATAATTTTACCTGGTCGGGTGTGAAACACGTACATTGACCTCTACCAACCTAGTTTGAAAAAAAAAAAAAGATAAGTTGTTGTCAAACGAAACAAGGAATCAAAATGTAATCCCTCTAAACATTCATTAATTTCGAGTAAAGTCATCGCAAAATACATTTATGATGCAGAAGGAATAATTAGCAAGAAATTGAAAGCCTCGTTGCAAAGAAAATGGACACTGACCCCTATTTATGTTGATTTAATGCCATGCCTTTATCACGTTTTTCTGCTTTAATTTTTTTATGAGCTTATTGTGATCAACGATAAATTGCATCGAGTTTCCCTCAGATTTATGTTCGTGATTGTACCCATGTCTGTATATAACCCAGAGGTAGTATCCTTTGTCATAACTATTGCCATGTTGATCGTCATCATCACATGCATGCATTATGTAGTCTCTTTTAAACAATAGCAATTGCTCTGATGACTGATAAATTCTATTCTATTTGTTTGTTGTTTTGTTTTTGTGTTTTCAGCGAGAAATGTCGATATAAAAAAGCTGCCTTTCTGTTCCAAAGGATCATTACCCGATATGGGCGAATGCAATCCTCAGGACTGGATGTTTTCTTATGAAATCAGAGACGAAAAGTGTACTTGGTGGTTGACCAACCCCGACTGCAAGCTAGATAAGGGTAGTAAGCAAGTATGTCCTAAATGGAAGCACTTGTATAATAGCATGATTTGTTATGTTGTTCGTTGTCCTTAAATGAAGCTACGGCTCTTGATTAACGGACTTCCTTGTAAAAGAAAAATAAAGCATATCTTAAATAAACTAACGTGAATTACAAGATATATGTCATATTTTTTGGTTTCTTTGTTTCTAAACATCGTCAGAAGAAAGTTGATATGCAGGGGAATGCTGACAAAAATATTATTGGATCGTACTATAAGGTCTATTGTATGGAATCTGCCTGTATAGTGTCTTACCGTACCCGGTTTGCTGTTTTGTCGTACTCCGTGATGTTGTAGTTAACGAAACTGTAAAGAAGGCGTCTAAACGTTTGTATTTCCTAGTTCAGCCCAAACGGGCAAGGCTTTTATGTAGGGATTTAGTCCTCTTTTACGTCACATGTATTAGATCAATCCTAGTTTATGCAGCGCTTGTATTCTTCTATGCTCTGCCCAAGTATTTACGGTGTGAGCTGGAGCGGGTCCAAAAAAGGGCATTGTGAATCATTTGCCCCAGTCTGTCTTATGACGAGGCACTTAAGGTATTCCAACCATCATTTCATATTGCAAGGGCATATGTGACAAGGTTTTTAACGCTGCCCTCGTCAACAAGGATAACTAACTTAACAAGCTATTAACTGAAGCCAATAAGGCTCCATGGCACTAAGAAATCAGCGCGACTCTTTGCACTTCCAAAGTGGAAGACGGACCGTTTTAAGAACACCATTGTTTTGTCATCGTGCCTATTTAAAGTACAATTAAATGATTCGGTTTTAATGCTGTTATATATTACATGCATGAATCAGGGGCGTGGCTAGGATTTTTTCAGAGGTACGCACAATTTCCCAAATGCTCCTGCCTCCCCCCTCCCCCCACCCGCCCAATGTCCCCAAAGGTGAGGCAACCATAAGCCTAAGCGTTTTCACCGTATATGAAATGACATAACTAAGTAATCTGAAAAATTCTTTACCGTCTTTTTGGATTCATTGACTGAAGCACGTCATCCGGACATTTAGAATCCGAAATCGAAAGTGAATACTTTGTATGTAATTACTTTTAAATCAGCAATGTTTTGTAGAATAAACAATTCTTCCAACGAATCATGATAATTTGAATTTCCTCCTTCGATCAAACGCGTTTCCGGTAAAACAAAAGTGTCATGTTCATGACTATTGACTATTTTAAAAATAATGATGGTGGAGATAGCAAATACGTCACTGTTAAAAAGAATACGCGTTTTTCAAACTTTTCCGCGTTTATTCCAACTTGGCAAATGTAGGTGCTCTTCACTAGAGTTTAATCCTTGGGAACGCGCACCCAAGCTTGAACTGAGAAAGAAAAAATTATCATCGTGTGTTTATTTCACTTCGTGGTCGTGCAGGGACGGCCAAAAGAATTGTACCAACAAGCGAGCTACATATGCAAAATTTGTTGCTTAACTTTTTAAAACTTAATTTTCTGCCTTTTGACGTTGCCCTCGTTGCCATCTCCGTCGTCGTTGCGAGATCTGTAAACTGTTGGGAATCCGAATGCGTTTTTAGTAGAATAAACGCTTTCGAGGTGATCCGAATTCCCCTTAATGTAATAAATCCGGAATTCTGAATCCGAAACATTTATGAATCCTCTGGTGAAACCGTAGCGCTTACGCGAACAATCTAGTGGTATCTTTCATTTGCAAATGAGTGATTCTTTTACCGCTATTTGCCACATTACTTTTTGACCGACGAAGGCAGGCACCCTATGTAGCTCCACGTTGATGCAATCGTGCCCTACTTCCGTGCGTTCAGGTAGCTACGCCCCTGTGAATTTTTAAAATTATTCTATTTTTAGCTTAGTTGCTGCGGAGCGAGCGAAGCGAGCGAGCAGCAACATAATCAGGATTAAAGAGAAATATACTAATAATAGTTGACACTACAGCTGCCCTCGTTCTGTGTACTGTCGGTCAATAGTACAGTCGAACTTCTCGGTACGGACACCTCTCTATTACGGACAGTTTCCTATGTACCGACAAAATTCTCATACATTTCCTCTAAAAAAACCCTCTATAATACGAACCCTCTCTAATGCGGACAAGGGACACAAAATCTCGGCCCTTGGGAGCAAATTTATACAAACTTAACCTCTTTATTACAGACACTCCGGGACAAGGACTCGATAATTTGCGGTATATGTACCATTTCCTGTCGGCAGTTACACAAACATTGACACTTTATCAGTCAGCGATAAACCAATACCAGAACATGTCTTAGGCGAAGTATTTCGTTTTGTTCCAAAATTCGTATGTACAGCATGTAACTGAGAAGTACAATAATATTAATCAATTTAGATTCAGAAATTAACAAGACAGTAAGTTTGGGGTTTGATTTTACTTACTGAACACTCTTAACCTGTCAGTGGTGTCGTAAAGGTGTCGTAAAAGTGCCGTAATCATAGTGACCTCTCTAATACGGACGCCTGTCTTATACGGACTCTTCGCTCTGTCCCTTCGGTGTCCGTATTAGAGAGGTTCGACTGTATTCTTGCTCGTTGTGTAGCTCTTTGAAATATACCGCTTCATAATGAAGATTTTCACACATATTCCATACAATAGGTGAGATAAATACAGGAAACGTGAGTTTCCATGCACAGTTTCAGCTCGATTTACACAGCTTTGATCAAAACATTCTCAGTTTCGAGAAGAGTTTATTCTAAACCATAAGAAAAGATTTAATTAGAAGCTGAATTTTTGGCTATTTCTTTTTCACTTTTTATATTCAGTTCATTCTATTTGCCGGAAAATAAGCCTTAGAAATTAAAAGGACGTTTGATCGATTCACGCTCGCGCATTCTAGTCTTATTTGAAACTTTATAACGGAAGGACATCTGTGAGCAGGGAATAAGTCAGCACAGAATTTGATTGTCGGCGAATTTCTGTAATCGTCCATCGTTCTGCAAGTGATAAGCTAGCCGTTGCTCACTCGTCTTGCTTGTTTGGGGCTGAGTCTTATTTCGGTCAAAGAGAGAGCTGAGGATTTTTCGCCTCTCGCATGGGGCATCCCGACCTTGTCCTTTCTCTTACAGTGGAAACTCGGGGTTAAAGGAAATCGCTTAAATCGCAATGGATCGGAAAAATAACCACACAGCAAACAAAAACAAGCAAAGTAAATACGGTAAGCTGTATTTTATTGAACATTCTAGCGAGTATTTATCGATTTGAATCTTTTACCTGAATTCCCATGCAAGTCCTTTATATTCACGTCCATTTTAAATTACCCAATACGAAATTACATGTGTTAATGATTAAACTCACACACTGAGCTTGGGCCGCCTGCAATCTGCGCTTAACGAGTGCCTTTTGGTCCATAACTTTCAAAACAACTGCTCCGCAGAATGTCACTGCGTAACGCAAAAGAGTATCGAAGTACGACTGCACAATAAATGTCACAAAATCTACCTGAGCGGTCCCGTCGAGATTTTCTGTCTTTACGTCATCCTAACCATTTCGTACTTGCGGGCGCAAACAAAAAAAACGTCATCATTATCTAACGATTCCTCGCGGCCCCTGTTCAAGCAAATCGAGTTTTTTGTCTAGCATATTGACTTAATGACTGAATATTTCAACTGTAAGTACTTTCCTTAATATACGCGCGAGTTACTAGAGTGCCTCCTCCCTGCCAGGGCAAAAAATAGAAAAATAACATTAGATTCACCTAGCATTCCGACAACTTTGGGTAAGTGCGTGCCGCCCATGGTCTTAAGCCCAGACCCTATTTAAGGATGAGAAAAACGAAAATTTACACCCTATTCAAGGGAGAAACAAAACTAAGAAATTAATGGTAACACACAAACCTTCATTAAATTGCCTTCCTACTACTCTAAGGGATAGTTCAGTTTTAAAAAAAAGTTTGTTGCTCTTTTACCTCGGCGTTAACGCAACTGAATTTTGGCTAATATAATAACGGTACCGTATGTAAGGATCACACCAGAAACACGGCGCTAACAAGGGCAAAAACGATACCCTATTTAACGGTGGAGAACCCTATCGGGCAGGACATGCCTATCTATTTCATATATGGGAGTACCCCCGGGGGGGGATTACATGTGTCGAAGTATGGAATCACCTAATGAACGGGTTTCCAAGTCCCTACTAAAATAGTGGTTGAAAATGAGGGACGTAGGTTGTGTGAGAGGAGAGATTTTATAACCGTAAATTGAAAATCAAATTAAAGTATGGCTCAAACATTAGTGGTTAGATGCCAAGTTTGAGGTAAGAACCAGCATCGCTATTGTGAGACCAGCAAACTGTTATGCAGTCACGTCAAACGCAATTATACAGTTCCAAAATAAGATAAGAAGGATTGAAGGTTATTTTTTACAGTGTTTGTGCACCTTTCTTTTTCTACAGGTATTCGCATTTTTGATGTCAATGTCCCGTCTAACGATGCTGGACAAGCATTTGCCCTGTCCCATGAACTCGACAAAATTGACATATACTTAAACAGTTGGGGACCTGGGGACACGGCTACGGAAGTCAAGGGCCCTGAAACTCTTACGCAAAGAGCTATCGAGCGTGGTATAAAGTAGTTAATAGATAGATTTAGCCAAGGCCAAAAGCAAAGCTCTCGAGTGATGCTTTATAAAATGTCTTTCTCAATTCATTCAACTTTTGCCGTATACTGAAAGCAAACTGAATTCCGCGCGCGCGTGTGTTCTGGCTCACCAACCCTTAATTTCCGATTCCGCGACTCGCCTGAGAACGGTTATCGACTATAATCCTTCATTCGGCGTACATTCCTTAATGGTAGCTGTTTAGTTTTAACCCCAGGCAAAGCACTTCCCACACCTTATAACTGGTGTATTGGACGTAAGGAAATGCAATGAGCTCTATAATATATGGGCCAGTGGCCTGTTTCTCAAAAGTCCCGGTAGCTTTTCGAGCCCGGAAAGCTATTTTGTGTTTGCCGTATTTACATTCAAATTCAAAGTTTCAATAATTTTAACAATGATACAATGAAAGTATCAGCTAACGAAGCAAAATTGGCTGGTTTGTGGGCTACGAACGGTGCTACTATTCAACAGGTTTGGATTTTAAAATTTGCCTTCGGGCCTGGAAAGTTTTCGTGCTTTCAAGAGACAGGCCCCCAGGCCCGTAAGGGCACTCCAGGGAGGTCTGGGTAGAGGTGTGCCACCTAATCCTTTAAACTCTGAACCTGTATCACAAAAGTAGATCGCTCGTCGCGAACCTTCATACTCTTTTAAAGGCTTCCGGTCTAAAAAGACACGCTGTTCAAGACGCTAATAGCAACCGAATCAAGACCCAAAAACCATAACTTGTTCAGCGGCACAAGCCCGTTTAGGCCAAATAAGGAAGTGCACCCCTGGAGACCAGGCTCCAGTTGTTCAAAAGGTGGATAAGGCTATCCACTGGATAAATCTCTATCCACTGGATAGCGCAATTGGTTTCCCTAATACATATCCGCTGGAGAGTGATTTATCCTGTGGATAGCGCTATCCATCGTTTGAACAACCTGGGCCAGGTGGTTTTCTTGTGGAGATAAGCATCGTGTATACTATTCAGGCAACAGTCTAGAGATATTTTTGTATACTAAATTACTATCCTATTCCGCAGATTTCTGCTGATCAGAAATCAGGATGCATTGAAAACTTCGAAGCAACATCAACAGCTACAGCGATGGCTTCAGGTCTTATTGCGTTGACACTGGAAGCAAAGTAAGTCTTAATGCTTTGAATGTTATTTGATCTTCTGTCGTGTAACCATATAGGCTCAGAATGAGGAAAGAGGATCAACCAGGACCCCAGGGTATACTCCCTATAAGCGCCTATATGAAGAGGCTCGGCCTGAAAGGGGTGCCTTCAGGCTTTACGCTTTAGGTATATTAAATGGTAGGGATTTCACTAGTTGAAGTATGTAAAAGGGTAGGAACAGGGGGAGGAGGGGAGACGGGGTATGGGACTGAGAAACGATGTTCTCGCAACTTACAAAGCGGTCACTTCGCGTGGTGGTCAGCGGATAATAATATTGTAGTATGTTTCCCACAGTAAATATTTTAGAAACGAGAAGCGAAGCGGCAGAGGAAATAATTCAATAATTGTAAAAATAATATCATGCCTCTTTGCTTTTTTCGCATATCGTATTATTCCTTTGGTACTGAACTTGCAAAACGCAAGCGGCAGTCACTGCAACCGTGTAAATTCTTAAACCGACAATAACGCGCGCTAGAGACCACCTCGATCGAGTTTATAGGTTAACATCGTTTTGCCGCGCAAGGACATCGAAAGTTTAAAAGAGTTATGATGCTGATAAAAGTTACTGGGGAAAGTGTCAAATTTATCGGAAGTAAAGTCTTTTCAAGACGGCTTTAAAAATAATAGCGTACATACCGGAATAAACAGATTCACACTTCACAATAACAGTGATAACACACCTTGAATTCAAAGTTAAAAGTATAAGCGATCCTAATAAACAAATGACAACTATTGGTGAAAGCTCGGTTCCTTGAAGCGACCTTAACTTTCCCCAGGTTTGGAGCAAAACACTACTCGATAGCTCAACTCTTCGGTGGTTCTTATGAGCCATATGTTACACATTCTAAACTCTGCGAATTAAAAGAAAGAGCAAATCACTCACTATGTCTCAAAAGCGACATAAAATCAATAAATTTGTGAATTACCAAAATATAATGGTGAGAAACAGTCCTGTCGTCGACCGCCACAATTTTGTTTCTTTCTCAAAGACCGTTGATGTTTGGTTTTTGAGTAATAAGCTTTGCAAGTTGTGAGAAGATCGTTTGGATTTCATTGAAGAGACTGTATGGGAAGTAACTACCCTGTATTACTCAATTACTTACTTGCTGTCTACATGACTGCTTGCTCCTTAGTTACTTACTTACTATTTAAACTATTGAGTTTTACTTTGAAGCCCCTCCCTTACATGGCGTGACGTAAAACACATTAATTATAGTAAGAAGTGCGAGACACCCCCCTAGAAGGAGTTTCACTCACCGGTGGATTCTGGGAAACGAACAAGGCTGGTTTATCTGTCAGTGGGTATTTTGGCTTTGGCCTTATGGATGGTGGCATGATGGTGCACTTGGCAAACCAGTGGAATACAGTGCCCGCACAGCTGAGGTGTGAGATTAAGGGCGGGGATCAAAACAGGTTTGAACTTTTTTGTTTTGTTCGTTGTTATTGCTGATGATCAATAACTACAGAATAATATCTCTCTAACGAATCTTTTTTATGTTAAGTTCTCTAGGACCCATAAAATGTCTTCCTTTTTCACGAGAATTGGTACTCAAATTTGGAGCTCTATTCCTTATTCAATTATAACACTCAAGCGATCGTCTTTCTTTTTAGAGAAAAGATAAAGGATTTATTTCTAAATTTCTTGGGTCAGAAGACGGTAATAGTTTATTGAAGTCCCCCCGCCTTATAAAGTTATTTTACACGTTATCTTAGTCCCCCTTCGTAATCGTTATTTACTTACAGTGTTTTACGTTAGTTTATTCTGCTGATTGTATTGTAAAGTCTTGTAGTTGCTCAGGCCATCTAGTGTAACCTTGTATTGTAACTATGTCTTTCCTCTTTCCTCTTACTGTTGTTGTTGTTGTTGTTTAGGGCACTCTTTCGTTGTTGCAGTTGTCGATTCTCGTGTTCAAAGCTTTAACGATTCAGACAGCAAACATGGAAAACGGGACTACAAACAGAGCAAAAATGTCGAACAAACAGTGCATAAAAGTAAGATTGCAGTACTTATAGCGTATAGGTTAAGCTGGTAGAGTGACATTAAGAGCCGCCCATTTTGTGCAACTTAAGCGGTTTTTCCCGGTTGATTGTCTTGATTCTCTCTTAAGATATTTTCTCTAAATAGTAAAATCCAACTTTTCTAGCCAGTACTCATAAGAGCGCAAGAAAGGAAAATGGATTAAAGTCACTGCTTCTGCTCATTCACAAACAACAAACAACTTGTGAATAAAGCCACAAACGATTCCGCCCGGGCTAGCGGGAAAGATTGTAAAAAAGGCGCCCGCTCCCAGAACCGATCAGATTGCAGGATGGCAGGAGTTTGAGAATAGACCTTTTTAGCTTGTATGTTTCGTTTTCCCATTGAAGACCACGTTATGGTACCCCGGGGAACTGTTTCTTTCAATTGTCGTCTTATGCACGTGCATCCACGTACATATGTATATGCATAATTAATGAAAAGACAAAAGTCAAATTCCTAAGAGAAGATCACGTGGTCTGAATTGGGAAAGTAAAACATACAAGCTAAAAAGGTCTATTCCACCCGCTCGCAAACTGAGGAAAAAATAAAAATGATGCCGTGCAGCATTGTATCGTCACTGTATCCGACAGCGATGGAATAAAAACAAAAACTGACTTCAATAGTTTGTTGTTTGTTAGTAAATTCAATTTACCACCGTTAAAAAAGAAGATAAATCCGTCAACTTTCCTTTGCCTTTCCAGTTGACTTTGTCCTAAAGACTTTCTGCAGTTTGCTCTCCTCTTGCAACTTGTTTCAAACGTATCCATTTTCACGGCTAGTAAACACGTCGTTGGTAGGTACGAAAATCGGTATATTTTTAAAAGGAATAAAAGAATTAACCATTAAAAAATTACTCGCCTGTCCCCAAAATACTCTTTTAATCTTAACTCTTCCACAACCAGGCCACGTGATGAGAGATTATTTTCATTCTAGGTTTAAAATTTTTGGAGTAAATTCTATGGCTTCGCGGCTCGGTAAATCTTAAAACTATCCACCTCCACTTCGGTGAATAATTGTTATCTAACACCCCATTTTGACAGAGTAATACCTTTAGAGGTTACGGAGACAGTTGGTAATTGCACGATTAAATTTCTGGAGCACGTTCAAGTGAAGGTAAATCTAGTTTTTGAGCGTCGTGGAGACCTGTATTTGGAGCTGATTGCGCCTAGTGGAACCATATCTCCATTGACCCGTCAGAGGACAATGGACAACATATTTGGAGGCAAAAACCTGACAAACCGGCATATTACTACTTTATTCAGTTGGGGAGAAGATCCTAAAGGACAGTGGAAGCTTAGAATTGAAAATCTGGACCAAAATTACAACAGCCGGTGAGTGACTTTTAACTTTTTGAGATAAAGTTAATTGTTTACGCCTGCGTAGTGCCAGGGACGACCAAATGACACCACAAGGGTGCAAATAAACAACATAGCGAAAAACTGTCACAGCGTTCAATCTAGAAATTAGTCAAACATGGCATCTTAAATTGGTTCATTTCAAAAATGGTCCTGGTCAAACTGTGATATTGAAATTTTGAACAACTGATATCACCCAAACACACAGCTATACCACTGTGTTATTTGTTGGGTTTGAGGCAGTTGGCTCTTGAAGTTCTGGAGGTTAACTTGTCAAGCAGACTTTTGCAGCATCAACATCCTTATGAAACCCTTCCCCATGCTTTTCACTACTTACACATAAGGTAACTTTTTGGGGGATCAGTATTACTAGAATGCTTCTGGTATTACTCCACTATAATTTCATTTTGAGACAGAAGAGAATATTCCGCGTTAATGAAGCAAATGAACACTGACAGCAACTGTGCCATTTTACTATGATAACTGTGAACATAAAAGGCAAAAAAAAAAATCAGTCTTGGAAAATTATCGACAGTATTAGCTACATATTTGTTTTGTTTGTACTCAGTCACATACAACCTCCTCGATCCTCAGAATTCTTCATATCCTACTCAGCTCTTTCAATAACTGCTAAATAATGCATACTTATCAAGGATAACTGTGTCAGTTGTAGAGAAAAGTGCTATCAATATAAGTCCTGCTGTTTAAAAATTACAAAGAATAAAAGACTGACAATAATGCTATTGACAGGATAGTAGTAGTAGAAACGCTACCTTGAAGACCTGGCTTTCAATCCAAACTTGTAATGTTGTCATTGTTAGATTAGTAGCTCCGCCATGGTAAAGGAATAAACTATATCCGATACAAAGCCCAGATATTTAAATGCATTCGTGCTCTTAATAGATTGACATCGAAAGTGTCACTTTTCTACGAAGCAAGACGTTGCCCCCGACCGAAAACCATTCATTTTGTCTTCTTAACGTTCCTTATAACTAGATTATATAGCAAGATGGAATCTCGATACTTCGAAATTTCTGGGGAAATTGAATGTTGGCTTGAATAATCCAAAGGTTCTAAAACACGGATGGAAGGTGGGAACAAACCGCAGTGGAGTGGAGAAACATCCTTACTACTTACTTCGACGCTGCTGTCAGTAACTTAGCCAGAATTGTACAGACAGTATCATTAGGTGTTTTCTTCATTATCAGGAGTTTCCTTTCTAGGAGAATTTCGCTTGTGTTAAAACCAGTTATCTAAATCTTGATTTAAGTGGATAGTGAAACTGTTGTTTATGAATAAGAATTTCTCCCAGTGACCTCATTTGATATTTTTCTGACTACCTTCTTGTATTAAATTGTTTGTTTAAGGTATTCTTTACAGCTGCTCGCTAATTCTGTACGGAACAGAGAAGGATCAAAGCACCTACATGTTCCGACGATTTCTACAAAGGTTAAACCTGCAACATATTCAACAACTTCGCCTTCTTCAATAAAACCTAAAAGCCACACCTCAAAAAGACCTGCTCCAACAACACAGCCAACTTCAAAACCTGGTAGACCAAAGTTTTTGCTATTTTCTATTTGGAACGTGACCAAGTCCATCGATACTACAATAAAGTCAAGAAAAAAAATGTTTTAAAACACAGTCCGTTACCTTTTTTAACCAACGACAGACGGCTTAGCGCTGACAACTTAAGCCCGGTTTACAGTACAGAAAATTTTTGGCACTGCTCGGGTGAAAATGGCACGGGTTCCCCCAAAAAGGGTTCGGCTCGGATAAAATTGGCAGTGTAAACAACCTGTCCGTACCAAATTTCATCCTTGCCGAACCAAAATTTTTACCCGTGCTGGGACCTTCGGCGAGGTACTCCGAGCAGGTGTGAAAATGTTCGAGTGCTGAAAAAATCGGCACGGTTCGGACAGAACAAATAGTGAAAACACTTTGACGGGCCAAATTTGTGCCTTAATTCATATAGGCTAGCGGTTTTCTTGCGTATATTTCAAGATGGCTCAGTGCTCGTTCTCCACTAAAATCACGCGGACGTTCTTGGAAAGAAAGCGACCTAAAAGAATTACTTACAATTATGAAAGAAGCGACCAAACGTTCCTATCGATGGGTGGATTCGTCAACATTATAACCACAAGAAACATACAGCACGAAGGTTTCGTCGTCCATCTTTGTTTCTTACACGGGCCCAAAAATTTTGGCACGGTATTTTTGGTACGGTAAAAATGGTGCAGTGTAAACAAAGTTTGCAGAGCTCTTTTTTAGCACCCGTGGCATCCAATTTCACCCGAGCCGTGCCAAAAATGTTCTGTAGTGTAAACCGGGCTTAAGTTATGGGTACGCAGAGGAGTTTTGCTCAGCACGAAAGAAGCGGCATTACGTTGGGAAATGTGTAGCACCCCCTAAAGGCTTCCATTCAAGTAAAAGATTCCATATTGTCCTGCGACTGTTAAGTAAAAGACAGCAAATGACGTCAAAGTGTGGTGATCGGCCTGTGTCATTGATGTTCTTACCTCATTTTGACGCCATTTTCTCTGATCTATGACTGAACGAAAACATCGCATGATTTTTTCTTTTCTTCCTGCAATGAAGAGAAAAGTAGAGTTCGATTTGTTGCAGTTGGTCGACGGATGTTTTGAAGTCGCCAGAAGCAAATTTCGTGGCGGCCTCTGCTTGTTTAATTCAGTAAAAATAATGAGTAATGCAAACATCTTGTAAACTGTACGCCACTTTGGAAAAAGCAGAGAATACAATTTTTCTCTGAAGTCATTCGTGTGTATTTACTCTGACAGGTCATGAGTAACGACCAATCATGGTGCGTGTAGTATTCAGAAAAAATTCAATGGTGCAAAAGAGTTTC